TGTACCTCTGGCCTGTACTCCAGTTCTGTATGCATAAATAAATAAGTCTCTTTTTTTAATATAGTAAAATACAGTAAGCTGGTGCATGTAAAACACTGAAACGTGCTCAGCATTCAGCCCTTTGTTGAAATATCCTAGCTGTAGATGATGAGAGTGTAAGGCTATGCAGGAGGAGGGGGAGGAGGAGTGGAGATTGTCTGGAATCCCTGAGTGCTGATCTGGGGTGGTTATGGAAATGGAGGGGTAGAGGGGATTATAGATACTTCTGATGTCTCAGAAACTTTCATGAAAACCCTTATCTACTTCCCTATACTGAAGTCACAAAGGGTAACATAAATGACAACTTTCTTTGCTTTCAGCTTAAGTCACATTAAGACCTGCACTTGGACCCCTGACGGAGTATACGATCTTGAATAAGGGGAGTTAGTCTACACAGGGAGCCTGGCAGTGCTAACCTTTCAGGACAGTTGTGAGGATGGAATAAGATGTCAGGGAAGCACTTAGCATGAGGTCTGCACCACAGTAGCTACTCAGCACATGGTGCCACTACTCCTAGCACCAGCCTTAGGCTCCCTGGGCCTCAGCTTTTTCACTGGTCAAATAAAAATCACACCACCTACTTTACTCATTCAACAAATATTTACTGAGCCAAGTACTGTGAATACCAAAATGTATTCATCAGACAAAGTTCATGGCCTCTCAGAACCCACATTTTGAAGTTTCTCATTATTCATCCATTTAACAAATACTTTTGCCAAACATTTAGTATACTAAACACTGTATAATAGGCATTACAGATATAATGGCTCATAAAACAGATTCAATTCTCAGCTCACTACAGAATTACAGCCTAAAGAAGATGTGATAAAATAAACTAGTAAATATCTAGCATGTAATATGTCCTCAACAAGTAAAAGTTGTCTAGGTGCTAATCAGAAATTATAAATAACTATGTAAAACTTTGGGAATGTTAACTCAGAAGATGAGAAAATTAATGATTTCTTAATTCACAAAATTTGTTTAGTAGATGGAGGCTTTTAAGATAAGAAAGGAGTCCAAAGAAAATGAACTATTTAAATACGTACCTCACAAAAGATTTATAGGGTCAGTATGTGGAATTATAAGATGTTGATAAGAAAAGAAAGAAAACCTAAATAAATGGAAAAATATACTATGTATATAGATGAATTGAAAGATACAACATAGTAAAATATCAATTTTCCCCAAAGCTATCGAGAGGTATTTTTGCATTTCCTATTAAAACCCCAGTCAGTAAAAGGTTTTGTGGACATAAACAAGCTGTGTCTACAAAAGATGGAAAGGTATAGGCCCTTGAAATGTGAACCAGTTCTAATAAAGAACAAAATGGATGAAGTCACTTCACTCAATATTGAAGCACACGGTATCACTGTAGTTGCAAAGACCAGTATTAATACATGAGTGGATATTTAGGTTAATGAAACAGTAGAGAATCCATAAATAAACCCACAGAAATATATTCTGTTAATTTTTGACAATGGTGCAAGAGAAAATCAAAGAAAGAAGGAGGTTTTCAACATGGTGCTGAAGCAATCGAACATCCAGAAGCTAAAAAATGAGGCTTGCTCTAAAGTTAACACTTTATACAAAAATGAACTCTAAATGTGTTATGGACTAGATTGTAAAACACAAAAACTATAAAGCTTTTTAAAATAAGAGAAAATAGGCCCTCCCTGGTGGTGCACCAGATTAAAACACAGCACTGAGAATCAAAAGCCGCTTCTGCATGAGTTTGATTCCCGACTGCCCTGGAGGTGACCACATGGCGTGGCAGACCTCTCCTGACCCGCCCGCTGCTCCCTTCAGCAGTGTACTTCGTCCATCTGCCTGTTCTGCTCCCCACTCTGTCTCTGGTGAAGCCTCTCATCGCCCCTGGTTGCCATTTCCCCTCCTGTGGCGCCTAAGTGAGAAATCCTTAGAGCTTGGCACGGTCAAGGTACCGGGCACAAGGGAGGAATACGTGGCCCTCCAAGAATAAAAGAATGGTTGATTCTCGAATGGTCACTGTAACTTTTTGATTTGTTTTCTGATTCTGTTGATGCACAACAAAAAAATGCTATGGATACTGTGCTCTGTTTCTAATGATACTCTTGATAGGAATGTAACTTCCTCTATTCTCGATACTGATTTACTTCTGAGAAACTCCCTTACAATCTTTAATATTATTATACAATTAACTCCTGTATACCAGGTGGCTTGAAAAATGAATGGAGAGAATAATTGAAAGGATTAGAAAGGCATAGGTGATAGATAGGTTATTTGTTTAGCAGCCCTGAACCTTGAATACACGGTGGTTTCCTAGGGCCCCAAGTTGGTTTTTGGGTCCCTGGCAACATCTCAGAAACAAAAAGAAATTAATGTATTACCTGTCATGCCTCTATTGAAAAAAATCATTGTACCCCTATATTTGCTTGCCAAGAAAAACTGTATAAATGCTCTCCACTCTTAAAAATAAATTACATTCAGATATGCACTCCTAGAAGTCGTGTCTGTCTGTCACTCAACCTCATCCTTGTCCATCCTGCGCCAGAATTGCAATCCCTGAAACTTGTCTCCTGCTCCTGCTGCGCTGGTATGTGGCACCTGAGCCTCTGGCCTGTACCCCAGTTCTGTATGCACAAATAAATAAATCTTTTAAAAAATAAATAAATAAGAGAAAACATCCTATGCTGTAAACATAGAAAAGCATATTCCAAAGTGCCTTCTGGTTCTAAGATTAGGCAGAAAGCTTTTAAATTGAAACAAAAAATATGATTCATAAAAGACAAATTGATAAGTTGAAACTCATTAATATTAAACACCTTTCCTCTGCAAAAGTTTCCATGAAGAGGATAAAGACAAAAGCTACAGGCTGAGAAGGAAATTGTAAGTCATATATCTAAAAGGACAAGTATCTAGAATATACAAAGAACACTCAGAACTCAACTATAACAAAACAATCCCACTAGAAAGTGGGAAGAAAAATGAACTAACATTCACTGAAGGGGCAATACAGATGGCAATAAGAACATGAAAAATGTAAATTAAAACCACTTGTGAGGCCCTCCCTGGTGGCACAGCGGGTTAAAGCACAGCACTGAGAAGCTAAAACCACTTACGCATGAGTTCGATTCCCGCCTGCCCTGGAGGTGATCCACATGGCGTGGCAGACCTCTCCTGACCCGCCCGCTGCTCCCCTCAGCAGTGTACTTCGTCGATCTGCCTGTTCTGCTCCCCATTCTGTCT